GAGAACTAGAAAGGCGAGGCTCACCACCCATTTATCCCTCCGCCTTTCAATTAGCCCCACATGTGATTATCGGCCAGGTTGGCACAATTAACTAACTCAGTATGGTACCTTGTGGTAAGAGAAAACTAATTAATGAACCAGACAGAGGGGTAGGAGGTTGAGTTCAGAAAGAAGGAAACGTTTTAACTCATCCTGAATGGTGGAACATTTTCAGCTGCTGAACCAATCTAGGATGCTACCCATGGTAATGTGTGACCCAGGTAGAGTCAGAGCACAAGACACTGAAAGTGAGGCCTCCTGATACTGTCAGGGTCCTCAGGGACTCCAGAGCCCTCGGAAGGTGATGGAGCTGGAGGTTGAAAGACATGGTGGGAAGCCAACGTCAAAGCCTTGATCAAATGTCGCAGGACATGTGTTGGTGACAGCAATCAGACGGGAAGATTGGGACAGAACTCAGTGGCGCTAAGGTCGTCAAAGGAAGTGGAGCAGTAATGTACGAGTTGCCCCACTGAAGACAGAGGAAGACAAGTTTTGCATCACACGGCCCTGAGTTGATAACCTTCTAAGCCAAATCAAGACCCCGTTTTAAAGACAGACCCTAAAAGCAGGAGCACATGGTGGCACAAGGCAGACGTGTCCTTGGTAACCTAGAGAGAAAAAGAGGCTGTGGATATGTAGTATCTCCCCATTTCTTACAGACCCCGGGCCAAAGTACACTGAGTGCTGCCACGGGTGGTTCTCCCACTGCCTGCTGGTTCAGGAAACACATTGTCTTCATCAGAATGGCAGCCGTGGTTCTGTCCCCCACTTGTGGTAAGTCGTTGGGTCCATGCTGGCCTTCAGAGTCTAGGTTTTCAAGGGGCAGCAAAGGGCGGGGCTGAGCTGACATGGAGGCGGGAGGGCTGGGCAAAGCAAGTAACAATGAGGTCCAGAGGTCCCTGAGATCACATTCTATATGTTACCGATGTGGTGACTGTAAGGAAGTTTTTAAAAGTATACTTTTAATTGTTTTTATAAACTTGATAAAATAGTAATGATGCCCTGTAAACTACAGTTTTTCTCCCCTGTGATATGAGAAAAGTAATCTCTTCTTCAAGTGGAGTAACACTCTTGAGCCCTGTTTTCTAGCCCTGAGTTAGACAACTTTCTACCCACGCTTTTAACCAAAAAAGCTGTATGTGGGTGTCTTTGTGCATAGGTGCGGATGTTTGGGTATCCATGTATGTATATTTGCATGGGATATAATCTGTCATAGTTAGGTGAAAAAAATTCCACCTTTGTGGGTGTTAGAACACACGACAAGCCTGGATTATTCTGACTAATTTCTCCTCCTCTAGCTCAATCTGCTCTATACCCGGCCTCTCATCAAAAAGGAGCCACAGAGAAAGAAGAATTGGTCAATGGGTTCCTAACAAGCTGGTTACAGGTGAGTCAGTGTGTTAGACAGGGTTCTCTAGAGAGATAAAACCAAATTTCTGATAATTTAATATATTTATTTATAAAGACAATTAGATATATAACAAGAAATGAACTGTTAAATCATATACAGTTAAATATATAATACAAGAAA